GGGAAAGAGATGTTTGGCCTATGGCGTTAGATTTCTTCCTTCCAATTCATTTAATAATCTAAGTCAAGTAAAGTCATAACGTGTACCCCTGCAGTGATGGGGCCCTGCGGCTGCTCCAAGCCATGTTTGGTTACAATTCTGCAATTTTACTAAGGAATTACTGGTCTGTCAGAGTCTGACACAGCCAGGGAGCTGAAGTGAACAGCCTCGCATGGACAGGGGACGAGGCACTTAAAAAACTTCAGGCGAGTCTTTAGTTGAGTCACCAGTCATGATTTACACCCTGGGCATTTATAACCTGCTCATGTAAATTCAGTTGCTTTGTAATACTGGGCCTTGCTTGCCTAAGGACTGCTGGTTTACATATTTATAATTTGTGATTATATTCTTTTCCTTCCTAGAAGCACTGAATGTCTATTGTAAATGACACAAGCAAAAAGAACGGTAAAAACATGCTCTAAACAGACACGAATGCTCTAAGCAAATCAGTGCTACTTTTCCACTGAACAAGGGCATTCAGCATAAAAAGGTTACATTTCAGACATTAATGAAACTTCACAGTTAACAGGAGAAATAATACTGCAGATATGAAAAAAAAAAAGATTACTTTTTGTTTTCTAAGACAATAAATATCTTAAGAGTTCTGATATTAGAGTAGGTCTGGTTTAGGGAAGCTGAAGGAACGTTACTTATTCATTGAGATGTGCTATCATTTCTTATTCTGTACAGTATATCAAAAACTCTCTCTACTGTTCAAACATTCTCTTGCCCATATTTAAATGTCAAAGTCTTCATGGGAAACAGTGCCTCTTTAACTTGGTGCACATTGCAGAAGTTTTTCCAAGAGCATGAGCGCAGAAGCCTCACAGAAACTGAATGAGCTTTTTAAAAGATCTCTTCTATTCCTATCCCAGGAATGACTTGCTTGCCTTGGTTTTCCCAAAGTACTGTCTTCTTTCACTAAAACCACCTATGACATGAGATAACGTGAAACTGGTAAGAGTGGAACAATTCAATTTCATGGAAATAAAGTGCTCTTTTTACAGACTGTTAAGTGACAGTGCAAGAGCAGAAACCAAGAATGTTTGCACGGTGTGTTTAGTAAGTCCAATAAACCAAGAATGGTGTATAGAGTAAGTCACTGGAAAGTTTCGTCTTCATAAAAAGAGGACACACATGGTAAGATAAACTATTTATAAACTATAAGCAGCACATATTTTTCTTTTCTCTCTGGAAAGTTTCCCCATCAGTCAACTTCTCCATGAAGTCATCCCAGCTGTCACTCCTATCCACAGCTTTTTATGGAATGAGCATTTCCCTGCACTATCGATCCCCCCTCTCTTACTCCAGTTTATAATTACATTAGAGAAAAGCTTCTGACTTCTAATATCAAGACAGAGAAACTTTTCTGAAAGACATTTTTCCCTCCCATTTCGATATCGCCTGACTTCCTGTTGACTTTACTTGCCATGTATCATCACGGGCTTTTTGCATCGCCACGTAGACTGGGGGTCTGCAAGAGATTTCTCCTTTTTTTTCTTTGATTAGCAATATCAGCAAAGGTGCACCAGCGCTATTGCTTCTGACAGCTCTGGCTCTCTGACAGGCTCTGAACCATTTTGACATACTGCACCTTACCAGCAACACAAGCACTGCAACTCAGAAACCCCCATCTCAGACTGTCAACTCCTGATGGAGCAGAACTTGCCTCTGCACAGAGGCCAATGCTGCTACGTACACAATAAAAAAAAACACCTAACAAAACCCCATCCCCGTGTCACTACCATAAAACAACAGACAGGCAAAGAGGTGCTATTAAGAAATCTGACATTAGGTCAGAGGATTGGTACATGCTCAGTGATCAAATCCTTGCATAACTAACACATTAGAGCAACTTACGTAGGCAGACAATACTAAAAGAGCAGACAGACACAGACAGTCTTTCAGGTAATGTATCAAAGAAAGGTGACAGACAGAGAAAGAAGGCTTAAAAAGGAAATTGTGACCTCTACTACATTAAAAAGAAATAGTCACTTTCGGCACCTATCTTCCATCTTCAGTTACCCGTTGGGTAGGAATCTTTTCCACCAAGGGAGAAATGAACTCTTTGCCTACCAGCTCTTGGTTGAAAAACCAGACCAGCACCAGAAGAAAGAAGATTTGGCAAAGCTGAAGCGAGGATGCGTGAGGTTACTGAACAGATGCATGTTTACCAAAGTGTAGTATGGGGAAGGCTTTTTAGTAAATAACAGAGCTGGCAACAATTTGCATCGAACTAAAAAAATCAATGAACAAAAAAAAAGAGGACCTTTTCTAATTTCATTTTTACTGGATGGTTCCAAGTTCATCAAAATCTTGTAAGAGAAACAATTTTGCCAGTGTAAGATCTGAGCTGTGGGAATCCAGATTTATAGCAAGGCAAAAGCTCATGAAGTCCACGGGAACTTGGAAGCTCGTGGCTCTGGACAAGTCTACGGTAGTGATACTTCAGCATCTGTCAATTACAATAGATAACAGAAAAAGATTCGCAGCTCCCTAATCTCAGCATTTGCTATATTCAAGGTATTGCCTGTATTAAATACAGAGAAGGACAATGCTAGACTGCATGTACTGAGAGTACAGTATATTATAGATCGCATGTATTTTCTGTGCACCACTGTGGGAGAAAAAACTTCATTGCACCCAGACACTACCATATGAAGCCTTGAGCAATTCTCTGGTGACTTCCAGAACAGTAACAGCAGTACCTCGAGATGAGGCAAGACCTCACTATATGCTTATCATCTTCTATTTCCATTTTAAGAAAAAGAAAATGTCCAGAGAGTCCTCCTGTTCTTCAGGCTATTCCTCAGAACATAGTTCCTACTTCCTCCCTATCGACCAGAGTTTGCTCCAAGATCTCCAAACACTGGGAGCGACGACCCCATTCTGCTTGCTTCCACCGGTACTTCTCTAAAACGGCACTAAAAGCTCTGCACTTCGATAAACAACAATCAGATTTTTTTGGTCTGAATGTAGTTGTCATGGGATTTTGTTTCTAGCATAAAACTGACAGTTAGAGTAGTAATTTTTTATCAGATTGCTTTCCTGAAAATAGTCAAACTTTCAACACTATGCGGTAGAAAATTTTCCACCTCGGGCGTACTCTCACCTTGAGAGCTTTGCATGTCTTGGTCTAGAGATGCAGAACGACGCATATTCTAGTGTGCATGGTGGGGTGCGAGGAGATCAACAGAGACAGATTAAATGAATCTCATGTTAATGATCCCACGATGGGGTCTGTAAGATGGTTATTTTCTAATGTTTAACTTGCATTTCCCTTTCCCACTTAACTTCTTTCTGTCTTGGCTTACAGCTACTCTACCCCTTCATTTTTTCTATTATCTTCCTACCTTTTCTGTTACTTAAAAAAATACCTTTCCTTTCTTTTTTGTTCTATCCCTGCTCCTGTCTACCTTAAAAAAGCTTTTCCTATTAGCAGATCGACCTCTAGTACAGCTAGATGAAATGCTTAATCACTGCTTGAATCTCCTTTCCCTCTATACTAAATGATTTCCTCAAATCACAATTTTCTTACAGAATGCAGAGATTTCTGTCTATCTCCAGATTTGCCTCTAGTACAAGACACAAAATGAATTACATTATATTTTAATAAACCCTGTATTGATCCCTTGAGGATAAACTGAACGACAAAAGATTATTTTAGATTGGTTTCAATGCAATTTTTTGTCAGTGTGAAGAATGCAAGCTTGGGCTCTAACATAACATATGCACTCCAAAAATATTTCCCCAGTCTGGGGGATATCCATTGAGAGCTGTTAGGTTTTGCTCAGTATCTCCTTGGTTAGCCAGAAAGAAGAGCAGTACCATCAAAATGTCTTTCTAAGAATTGCTTGGACAGCCTGCCCTCCATCAGATTTCAGTATCTGTTTCTGAGAATAGGTGTAAAAAGTTTCAAAAAATTAACAGAAAAAGAGAATCCACTATTTGTCACCTATGTGGTGTACTCAAAAGTTTAGGACCCTCCTTAAGTTGACAAAGTTAATAAAGTCTGCAGAAGTTGAAATGACAGACAACAGAAAAATCGCACCGAGACCGGCAGATTACTCATGCCATGTCGCCATGTCACCAGAATGAAATGCCAGACGTTTTTGTGATGAATGAAAACTAATAAAAGTGAACCATATATGAAATGTACTTTACTAAATGCTTGCAATCGTTGCAATGAAAACACCGAAGTTAGCGATTTTATACCTGATAAATGTTTTCTTCCGTTTCAGGCTCACGGATTGGCTCGTGTCCAGCCTCAAACACAATGTACTATTACACCAGCCGCCAGAGAGGAAAAGTCAAAGATGAAACAGAAGGGAAAAAGGCGATTTGGAATTCCACGTAAAAACATAGGCAGGCATTAAAGAAACAAGTTCAAAGTACAGGCTGGCAGCAGGACAACCGGTTTGTTGGAAAACACAGCGTAAGGTTGTTTCATATTTCATAAACCGGCAATGAATAGACCTAAATCTCCTCTAATGATCATTAGAGCAACTTCCTAATTCTTTCTCACTAGGGAGACCTCCTGTGGCCCAATATTAATTTTCTGAAGTCAACGTGAATTTTGCCTCTTCTACATAATGGCAATTATTTCCACATATATTTATTATCGATGAATAAAAAAGCTAAATCCATACTGGAAGAATAGGCTGGTGCTCATGTAACAGGCCACATGGCAAAAGGCTGTCACACCACTTTTCATTTTCAGGTTCTTGCTTTATTGTGAAGAGCACAAAGTAAAATTCCTGACATTATAAAAGCTGAATAGTAATTTAGGGCATCCTAATTCTTATCATCTTTCTTGCTGCACCTTAGGCACTGCTCAATATTCACTAATGGTTGAATCGCTTTCTTTCAGTGTGCCTCCCACTGACATGCCTAAGTGGAAGAACACAAAATCTTCAGGGGAAAAAAGTAAACTATCATGTATTTTGTTTCAGCACAAAAACATGAGAATGAAATTACATCTTTTTCTTCTTCACACTCAGTAGGATATTGGACATGAATATATTGACATATTTCTGATAATCACACCTTTGCTCCCAGACATTTTGCTTGTATAAAACAAGACTTAAATTTCAGATCTCTTATTAAATCATAGCCCAAATGCCAACAAGGGAGTGTGTTATAAAATCAATTCCACTGTTGTTTTTTTCAAAATATTCACCCTCTGAATTAAATTCTGGCCCCATAGAAGCCAAAACCAAAATGTCAATTTATTATTATCAGAACAAGATGTCACCTTCCTTATTCTCAAAGTAACTCTCCTTTCAGTTAGAGTTTGTATTAAAAAATGACAACAAATCTCATTTGGAAACTTAAAATCTGGACTCACAAGCCACACTTTAGGAAATATTTACGAAATACTTAACGGAAATATTCTATTCTGTTCTATACAGACGTATTGTGCTACTTACAGCTTAATCTCTAAATATGCCACTTTCTGTAAAAATCTTACAAGTTTCTCAGAAGACCTATCTCAGTAAATCTCAAAACATCTTGTTAAAGGTTTTGGCTGTGTTTGAAGATAACATAATATCTAGTCATTTCTGAAACTCCAAGGCCATACAGCTTCAGAAGTTACCTGGTATACAGGATCTTCTACATCTTCTTCCAAAATTGTCTACAGCAAAGTAAGAGGACAGGAAGTAAAAGCAAAGAACATAAACAGCAGAGATAAAAGAACTGTATTTAGAAATTAAAGGACAGCAAAGAAATAAGCAAAATGGCCAGGTAAGTATATAGTTTTCTTTCTTTAGTATACAGATAAAGTCACATTATTGTTCAAAGTAACTTTATTCAAGTTTCATCCGAGTTTAACAATCTGCACCTTATTTGATTTGATTCAAATACACACATTGAGAAGTATATTGAATCTTCCCTAAAGTATCAGACACTGTTAAAAACCTGACTTACAACACACTGACCTTCATTAAAGTTTTCCTTCTGAATTAGAAGAAACACTATGCAGGAAATGAATAGATCATTTCCAGTTGCTAAACATGTTCATCGTACCCAAGCAATAGCTTTCATCACTGTTTAATCCTACTTCTGAGCTCACAATGGCTATTAGGTTCCTATTTGTCCATTTGAAGCCAGCACCATTCAAACCCATTGCTGTTAAGAAATGCTAAGGGTGCTCAGTGCCTCTTTGGAGCAACTTTGGGGGACACTTCAAACCATACTTTTCTTGGCCGTAGTCTAAGCTTATGCGTGTACCTGGTATACCGCTTGTTCACACTGTTTGTCCTTTTGTGCCTTTTTTTCCATTTCTTCCCTTTGTTTCAGTTCATAGATGAGCTGAAACAGGTCTCGCAAGTCCAGAATTACAGGTTCAGCCTATGGAAGCAAAAACAGGAAGACGAGTTTCTATGCGGGAAAATATACTCCTCTTATCCCATCCTGCTGATAGAGCAGTTACAGCATCTCCACAATTGGAGACAACTTCATACAGAGTTAATTTCCACCTTAGCATCAAGGCTCGGGTTAATTTCTATCAAACTAACTATATTTGCAAATTAATGATAATTAAAATCACAAGTATAAAAGGCATTTTCAATATAAAAGGTATATATATGAATATAAAAGCATATTTATTAGTGGTTTCTCAGACAATGAAATTACCGTAGACTATATGCAAAGTAGCTATTTGGTATCTTTTACTTTCTATTTAAATCAGTATAGGAATATAACCAAATGTATCTGTATCCAGTCTAGTGTAGTTAGAAAGGAAAACAGTAACTAATTATAAAAAAATACATAAGGAAAAATCAGAAATAGTGAAATACATTCCCTTTTTCCCAGGCAGTTTTCATTAATTTGCTATTTAAGAACATCTAAGTAGATACTTGTGACATATCTAGCACAATCATAAACAATACAAGATCGGCCTCTTGCACAACTTCTTATGAGCACGGCTTTTCTATCGAGTTACACTGTAGAAAATGACAGTGACCCGATACTTACTGCCTGGGCTGTTTTTATTGCCACAAATCTGTGATTTCCCTCCTTTCCACATACATATCCAAATGCTCGATGGTCTGTGATATCCTTTGCGATGTATGAAATTTCATGAACTGCATGGTGGTGCTGTAGGAGCTATTAAAAAAAACACAGCAAGAAATATCCGTCAAAATGTTCTATTAAAAAGCTGTATAACTTCTCTTTCATCAGTGCTTTACCTGGATCTCAATACACCTATGGAATTAAAACAATCAAACATAACCTGTATCAAAATCAAAATAGGCTCTTTAAGCCTATTCTCTTTTCAAAATCTAGCCAAATTTGACTTGCTTTAATAACTTGACTAAAAGCTTCAATTGAGTATTTTTCTTGGTATCTTTTGGTGAGATATAACTCAATAGAAAATAATCATGTTACCTAGTTACTACCTGGGTACCTAGCATCCTAGGTACAGAATCAGTATTTGTAGGTATATAAAAGAAGCAGCAGCTACCTGTAGCTTCATACAGGGTGACTCTGAGGACAGACTGATCTGCAGGGGCTGCAGAGCTAGAGCTGAGATACCCAATCTCTCTAAGAATCGGCACCAGACTTGCTTTCTCTCTGCAACATTCAGCATCAGCCAGCAAGTGATACTTCATTTAAAGCGTAACTGAACTCCAAAAATTTATTTTTCCCAGAAAATTAATGGAAATGCAATTATCCAACTTGAAATTAATGCTAAATGCAAAATTTCACATTTTACTGAAAATCCCACTGTGGTTAATTGCAATAATAAAAAGACTCAATTTTGTTTTCAATGTATGAGTAAAACTCTCCCCATAAGACTCCTATAAGCATGTCTGGGAGTGCCAGCATTGGCCTAAGTAGTGTTTTACTACCAAAACAATATTTATGTATTTCTACTTAAAACAACGTCCTTGAAAAGTTTATCTAAAACAATCTATCAGCTCAAATTTCTACCTTCTGATATATTGACCTGCTCTTATATCATCTAGGGATAATGCTATTTCTGAGAGCAGGCAAAGCCTCACAAAGAATTCTTGCTGGTTTTGAGAAAAGCACATTTTGAAAATCAGCATGGTATCCAGGCAATCTCTAAACAACCAGTTATTTTTAGAGTTCAAAAAAAACATTTTAAAATTCAAAACCGGAGAGGATGTGTGTGTGTAGAAGCGAAAAGGCTGAGCGTGTGCAGGGCAAGTGACAAGCGATGAGACTTCTGTAGAACACGGACTGAAATTTAAAAGGAGAGGCAGCACGCAAGAGGCAGATGACTACATATAAAACAAAAGACTGGATATTTTTCATTTTCATTTCGCTGTAAATGACTCCTAACTTCCCAAGATCAAGATTGCTTGCTTGTAGGAAAATAGAAGAGTTGCCATCGACTTCAGGCTGAATGTGGCTAAGCTGAAGGTGCGCTTCAGACTCTCCCAATGTGTGAAGCGTTTAAAATTAATGATGGGATCTTACTTAGATAATACAGGGATATTGATTTATTAGGTTTTTCTGAAAACCAAGTTGCACGCTATCTGTTACAATGAAATGAAATGTTCCCATCTCTCTATTCTGCATATGACGTTGCTTTATTGATTGCGAGACAGCATTTGCACTGAAATTAAACTGTGATCAGATTCCTTCCTCATGGAATTAAATTTGAAGATCATTCTACCATGGAAAAGTATCACCCACAATGTAAAACAGCAGATGGAGACACTCCAATTTATTTGGGAACCCTCATTAACCATTCAAAAATCATTACATTTTTAATGGTTATGATATTCTACATACTATATCAATAGATGTAGAAATTAAGTAAAGGTGACTGCAACATTATCCTTTCACATCTTTTACTGTATGGAACGTTTAGCAAGAGTTTTTCATTTGTTTGAGGGATACTGAGTTGGAACATACACACGAAACGCAATGTTGCATACACACATCTGTACTCAAATGTAGATACAAATGTAGATCCTTTGATCCTGTGCTTTCACAGCCCTCGATTCATCTAATGTGTCCTTTCTGCATATTCCAATACTTTATTCCAAATATTATTTAACGAGTGCCTGATTCTTTGTT